TTTGCCGGCGGGAGTTGTGCTCATGGTTTGCGATTGTTGCAGACGTCCGACATCTTCGTCTGACGGTATTTGCGTGCGGGCGAAGAACGTGAGGTGAGGACGCACGAGTAGGGTAAAAGCTGAGCCGGCAACTGGCATGTTCGTTCTTGCATCCAGGGCGTCTGTCATTTGCAACGGCCATGCTCAATGCAAGCCTGAAGGCAGTCCATTGTTTGTAGCAAACTTTTGTGTAAGCTGCCACTTTGGACCTGCTCAGCATTTTGTGGGAATCTCTCTGATTTCCTGGTGCGCTTGTTTGCTGGGGAGAGTTGTGGCTTGCGAGTGCTGCAGACGCCAGACATCTTCATCTGACGGTGGTTGCGTGCGGGCGAAGATGATCAAAACTTAATGTGGGAATCTCTCTGAACGTGAGGTGAGGACACATGAGTAGGGCAAAAGCTGAGCCGGCAAAGGCATGTTCGTCCTCGCGTCCAAACTTGCACAGGTTGAGACGCTTGTTATCTCCAGCGGCCATACTCAGTGCAAGCCAGTTGATTGACTGCAGCAACCTCCGCTGCGAGCTGCCATGTTGAACCTTCTTAACATTTCGTGGGCATCTTTGTCCGTGCGGATGCAAGAGTAGGGTAAAAGCATTTGCCGGCGGGAGTTGTGCTCATGGCTTGCGAGTGCTGCAAACGCCAGACATCTTCGTCTGACCGTGGTTGCATGCGGGCATGTGCGGGCGAAGATGATCAACACTTGATGTGGGAATCTCTCTGAACGTGAGGTGAGGACACAAGAGTAGGGTAAAAGCTGAGCCGACAAATGGCACGTTCGTCCTCGCGTCCAAACTTGCACATGTTCCGACGTTTGTTATCTGCAGCAGCCAAGCTACATGCAAGCCTGAAGCGTGCGGATAGAAGAGTAGGGTAAAAGCTGAGCTTTTGCCGGCGGGAGTTGTGCTCATGGCTTGCGATTGTTGCAGACGTCCGACATCTTCGTCTGACGGTATTTGCGTGCGGGCGAAGATGATCAAAACTTAATGTGGGAATCTCTCTGAACGTGAGGTGAGGACACACGAGTAGGGTAAAAGCTGAGCCGGCAACTGGCATGTTCGTTCTTGCATCCAGGGCGTCTGTCATTTGCAACGGCCATGCTGAATGCAAGCCTGAACCTAGGCAGTCCATTGTTTGTAGCAAACTTTTGTGTAAGCTGCCACTTTGGACCTGCTCAGCATTTTGTGGGAATCTCTCTGATTTCCTGGTGCGCTTGTTTGCTGGGGAGAGTTGTGCTCATGGCTTGCGAGTGCTGCAGACGCCAGACATCTTCGTCTGACGGTGGTTGCGTGCGGGCGAGGATGATCAAAACTTGATGTGGGAATCTCTCTGAACGTGAGGTGAGGACACCGAGTAGGGTAAAAGCTGAGCTGGCAAATGGCATGTTCGTCCTTGCGTCCAAACTTGCGCAGGTTGAGACGCTTGTTATCTGCAGCGGCCATACTCAATGCAAGCCAGTTGATTGACCGCAGCAACCTCCGCTGCGAGCTGCCATGTTGAACCTGCGCAGCATTTTGTGGGCATCTTTGTCCGTGCGGATGCAAGAGTAGGGTAAAAGCATTTGCCGGCGGGAGTTGTGCTCATGGCTTGCGAGTGCTGCAAACGCCAGACATCTTCGTCTGACTGTGGTTGCATGCGGGCATGTGCGGGCGAAGATGATGAACACTTGATGTGGGAATCTCTCTGAACGTGAGGTGAGGACACAAGAGTAGGGTAAAATCTGAGCCGACAAATGGCACGTTCGTCCTCGCGTCCAGACTTGCACAGGTTCAGACGTGTGTTATCTTCTGCAGCAGCCATGCTATATGCAAGCCTGAAGCTAGGCAGCTGCTGAAGCTGGACCTGCTACCGCCTTGCGAGCAAGGATGAACAGCATTTAGTGGGAATCTCTCTGATGTTCCCGTGCGGATAGAAGAGTAGGGTAAAAGCTTAGCTTTTGCCGGCGGGAGTTGAGCTCATGTGGAAGGGGCGCTTTTACGACTACCAATTCCTGTGGACAACGGAAACGGGGTCTTCGCAGGGCGAGACAACCAGCTGTACTTGGCACGACGGGCACTGGCACACATCCAGCATGCTGGCAGAGAACATCTCACCGACAAGCTGCAGCCGGAAGACGAGAGGCAGCCTGAGCCCAGGACACTACCCAATTCACCACTCGCGGGCAGCAGCGTCGAAGGGCCATAGGAACAGGCACAGGGACCTCTCACAATAGAGCATGGACAGTGGAGCCCAGCTACTAGACAACCGCCCCTGAAGGGAGCTGGATCGCTAGCTTGAATATCCTGCTTACCCTCGACGCCAGGAATCGCTTCCTCCATATGCCACCGAGTTGTGCGGTCCATAGTCGACATGGAGCCAAAAGCACAGATTCGGAAGCCGCTTTGCCGCTTCAAGTTCGGTTGCATGTCAAGGCCTGGTGCCTTCGTGCTTGGAGGCATGCTCTCTTCGATCGGTGGTGACTTGTATCTTGCGTTTCAAGGACTAATGAAAGCGGATCATGTTACCGCTTTTTCTTTGTTTCTCTCTCTTTCTCTATCTTTTGCTATCGTGGCTGTTGGCAGGAGGGTCGGCATGGCACACGGGAAGCTTTGGGACCTCTCACGCTGTCTGCATGATGGCTTTCGGCTGCTTGGGCAGGAGAATTGCCAAAGGCTCATTTCGGTGGCACGGAGATTGGAAGGCATTGGGTGCTCGCTGCAGAGATCTGTCATGGTATTCCAACCTCCTACCGGTAGGACTCCCAGGGTCCCAGAGTGTTTCTCCAGTCCTCGGCCGGCTTGCCTGTCAGCTCTTTGGAGTGGCGGCCACTGATCCACGTGCATGCGGGAAGTCGAATCGGCGCACTACTCGAGGTGTGCCCGCAGCGTGTAGGGGCTTGTCAAGGTTGCAATTTGCGATGGAGCCAGGTGAGGGACTTCGTAAGTGCCACTGCCCCAGCGATTGACAGAGAAATACAGAGGATAGATACTGCAGTACAATCCAACGTCTTGGCTTTCAGAAATCAGGGCTTGCGCGAGCTGCCGATCTTGCGGGCATCCATATTCCAGGACGGCACGCTGAGAACTGAGGCGGTCATGGGGAATCCAGCATGTGCAGACTTGAGATGCTACCACCTACTTACTAATTACCTGGTATTGCCTCACGACATTTGGCATGAACTGCTGGAGGCCGAAGATACATGTGTCTCTTTGGCTCCTGTGTCGTTATCCTTTGCTGGAAGGCCTCCATTTGCCCATCAGGGTTGTCATCCTTGACACAGGCGTGGTCTGCCTTCTGTGTTTGTTTGATTTAAACCTGAACTGTGGAAGGAGGAGCAGAGCTGCGTCCTATCCGCATCTGCAGGGCAAAGGCCATATGGTCTGACGGAGGACTTGACCTCAGCCGTAAAGGTCTTTGTCTTTTCTATGGTGGCTTCGTGAGCTTGGTGGCTCACGTCAGGTCCGTGGCAACGTGCGCAGCCTCCGTCTTTGTACAGACGTCGGGCTCCTGGACTCGTAGTGTGGACTCGTAGTGCAGATCGAAGCCTCACCTGCAGAGTGCGGAGGTCAGTGAACCGCCCTTGCTTCGCTGAAGCTCGGAATTACGCTGGTTCGATGCATCTATATCCTTCTCCTGGAGGTGTAAGTGTAAGAGAAGGCTACTTCGAAGAAGTAGCCTTTTCCTAGCTTCTCGACCGTAAGCTGGGCATTGCCACGAGGCGCATGCCCCGTTTTTCAAGCCTTCAGAGCTTCAAACCAGAGGCTGCGAGGCTTTGTGTCTAGAAATTAAGCCAGGCTGCCACTACGTGCAGCTTGACTGCATCGTGCGGACTACAGCCGCAGGAGATAAACATGCCGCTAGCTTCTTGCGGGCCTTTCAGTGGGCATATGACATACTGGATGTGGCCCAGGTGCCGTGGAGAGCTTTCACATGTTCCGACATCCGAGTGGCAAGCCAAAGGGCATTGGGGTCCAGGGCTGATCCGTCGTGCTGTTGTCGATGGCGACTGCGAATTCAATGGAGCGGGACGAAGTGGCAAAGTGACTAGCCGAGGTGCTCACATTCAAGGATGCGCACGCCGCAACTGAGGCTCTGGCTTTTAGATGTCCCCCGTGCGCCGATCTGCATCGAATCAACTTCCTGCCTGAGGTGCTTAGTCATGGGATTGAAATCGAAGGATGGCCCCTGTACTTGAGAGAGGCGAGTAATGTGTCCAATCTAGCTTCAATCTCTGAAACAAACGGAAGCAGGCAGAGGATCGGGGTGAGCGGGCGGCGGCACGGAGCTCGGACCCCTTGGTCATTCGTCCATCGAGCCGGCATCTGCCAGCCGTAACTCAGGGTGGAGCGGTGTATTCGGAAAGAGATCAGTGGTCTTCGTGGCCTGACCTTCATATGCCGTTTGGATGATTCGCAGTCGAATGTACTTTGCAAGGCCAAGATTGCTGTGACAAGTGTGGGACGAGATCTCTTGTTTTCAGGTACCACACAGAATGGGAGTCTGGCAACGAAGTTGACCCTGGAAAGGTGCGCGTGTGAGCCGTGTGGACTTGTAATTTTTCGGTTCTCGTCCCACATCTCCGCGAGCTTCGGCCTTCGGCGAGTGACAGCGTCGTGTCTCGAGTGACCATGTGGATGTCGCCATGCCAATGCGACTGGCGGCTCGAAGCCATCGGTATGATGATAATGCGGAGACCAACAACAGCGAGCACCAGAACAGTATCAGTAGCATAGCAAGCCTTGCTCCCAGCACTGTGCGGCCTGCGGCTGCACTTGGGCACGCCGAGCATGAGCTGCGGGCTCAGTTGCAGCATTCAGAGCAGGCTCGTTCCATGCAAAGTGAAGCGGATGATGGAGGTGACCTACAGGCTGGGCGTGTTGTGGCTGCAGAGTGCTCCGAAGCCCAAGCCTCAGGAGGGCAGTGATGGCCGATGCTAGGGCCAGGGTTTTCTCAGGGATGTGTCTTCTCGGCGTGCGTTTGGCTTTCTTGGCATTTTTCGCTCCTGTGGGGTGCGAGCTCGCCCAGCAGTCGCCTGTTGTAGAGCACCGACGGTGTGCTCGTTGCTTTGACTCGCGCCTGCACTGGTGTTGCTGGATGTGTCCGGGAGCAAGCCCTCAAAAACCCATGGCAGTGCTGTCAAACTCGGAAGCCCTGAAACGGAGACTGTTAGTGATAGCATTGCCGTTCTCTATAGGACGGTTTTGGAGCCTCGCATCCTCCTCGCATGTAAGACTCATAGAGATCGGGTGGAGCCCGGAAGAGGCGCCACAAAAAGTCTAGAGCCGACGCCACATTGAGACTGGCTTTTTTCTTCAGATGCTTTAAAGGTCTGCGATTTCTGGCCCAGGCAGCGTTGAACAGTGCTTCTGCTGAACATCAGAAATACTCTGGAGGCGTCGGCATCGTGGCATGTTTTGCAGGTCTCGAACAGAGAATGCTACGAAGAGAAGCTCGCGCAGGTGGCGGCAGTGCGGACAAATTCTCTTCGCCATTCGCCTTCTCGCAGGCAGCCACGCCCACAGAGAGCTCAAACTCAGACTAGGCAGAATGGACCGAGGATAAAAAAGAATCCGAAAGTGTCCTCAACGTAGAGGCAAGAACTCGCTGCAATCATCGCCATTGCCGGTGACACTCGTATACACTCAGGATTGCCTTACTGTTGCTTCAGTTGGTGCTGTTTCTATATGTTCCATGGGTTGTGGCTCAAGTTTCTAGCCACTCGGGGGCACCTTTGGCAAGAGGGTCATTTGAACCGCGGGCAGGAACCCCACCTCGAGATGCATAGAAAACTGTGACTAGAACAAAGCCCGCCAACATCCGCCGACCAAATCCCCGAAGTGACAGGCGCTCCGAATAAAGATATTCTGCACACCTCTCTGCAACTGAAATCTTGAGTCGAGCATTTCCCGGCTTTCTCATGAACCGGTGACATCCAGTGCTAGACAAGCACAGATTTGAAAACGTAGATCTTGCACCAGATGACATCGACGTGCCGCTTTACCTACTGTAAACCCTGTTATTCCAGCCCCTCTTCCAAGTTGCATCGGCAGCGTGCGAGTATGAATTGTGTGACAGCCTGCCAAGGGCGAAGAGCTGCATCATCAAGCTGCCTCGCCGGGACCCGTGCCATCGTGCCCTGCCTGCGGAACAGTGCTGCCCTGGCTGACAGCGCGCAGACGCAGAACGTGGCTTCCAGGTACACGGCTCAGACCCATGAATCTCAGATGCCGGGCGTTGGCCAGCAGGCTCCGTCTTGGCCAAAGTCTCCCTTCAACCTCCTTGCCTCCTCAGCCTTGGAGGTGGTCCAAGTCTCCTGGTCGTCTTGGGGAAATCAAGCTGGCCCTGGCCCGGGCCAGATGGCCACACCGATGATGGCTCCGATGGGAGCCTCGATGATGGCTCAGCCAGTGATGGCTACAGCTCCGATGTACACCATGCTGCGTCCTTACCTCGCACTTCACGCCTTCAGCATCTACAGTCTGCCCCGACCGCAAGGCCCACGTCAACCACAGCCTGTCAGCCACCAGGTGCTCCAAAAGGATGATCCGTCGGCCTACTCGTAGTTTCGTGTTACCTGTCCAGGCTGCATGCCGGGGCAGGCGACACTTGTAGCAGCTCAGCTCAGAACAGTGTTTCGGGATTCTTCCACCGCTGGTTACTCTTATTTCCCCATGCCCCTCATTGAAGAGTGTAGCTTTCTTTGATGTTCAGACTTGCACTGCCCCGCCTGTCCTGCACCTCCGCGGTTGTTCAGAGGGTGGGGGTTATTCTTGGGTGTTAATGGGGGGGCGGCTTCAGAAATGTGATCAACCGCCACGGCATAATAAGGGTGTGTGTGTGTGTGTGCTCAGTGTGATCAACCGCCAGTGGTTTAGACATGTTTAGACATGTGATTCACGTGATCAACCACAATCGCTTCATAAAGGACCGAGTTTGAGAAATGTGATCCGCCGCAATCACCTAATGAGGGACCGCGCTTCGCACATTAAATGAGAGCACATGTCAAAATTCAATAAATTATGGGTTCGAAGAGACAATGGAGCAAGGAGGGAAGATGTACTCGCCCCAGCCACACGCGCTCGGTACTTGCAGCTTGCCAAGGTACGTACTCTGAAGGTGCTGATTTGCATGCGTAATCCCCCTGACCAACGACGCCAATCCCCCTGTACCCGAACACACCTGCAACAAACGTGATCAGCCTGCATCGGGTGTTGCTCTCGACTTGCCGGCTTCCGACCAGATCGACCAGCGACGTTTATTCAAAAGCCGGAAGGCCGGAAGTGCCATTACCTGCAACGACCGGCGCAATCTTGCTGACAGCAGTGGCCCAGCCAGCCCGGAAGACAGAAATCAAAAAGCTAGCTCTGAGGAGCTTGCCGCAGTTTTCGTTTAACAATTAACTTCTAGTAGGGAGCTAAGTGAAAAAAATCCTTCTCGTCCTCATCAGGTCCGGTGGGAAGGACCCCGGTCGCCGCACCCCTTAACCGTGACCTATTCGAAGATATTCCAAGGCAAGACGGAGGATCCCCCCAGCCAGCTAAAGCGGTTCGTGTGACATTGAGTAATTAAAGTCTTACCCGCTTCAGGCACACACCCCTCCCCCCTTCCCCTCCCAGCTTTATATAAGGTCCCCACCTTCTTGAGGGTGCCTTTGTGTATTGCCGTTTGCAATACATGTTGGCTCGAATGGCGGCGCGACACACGCGGCCCTTTGGCGGCTCCCCCGCTTTCTTCCCTTAGCTTTTGTGGCCCTCTTTTCAAGCTACGTGCTGCTTCGTCTCTGCGTCCTTCGTCGTTCGGTTTCCCATCCAGTCCAAGTACCTGAAGCTTTCGGACGTGCCATGCTGGAAACCCCCTGTGGGGTTTCGGCATGTTTCGGGGTTTGCAACTCATCCTCAGGATCGGGGTTGGCTGGCCAGTCCTTGCCTTTGGCCGGTTAGGGCGGTTAGGGTTCAGGGTTTCACGTTCCGGGTTCCTTGGTCTGGCACTGAATCTGCCACTCCCTTTGAGGTTGCAGGTTTTGTCACCTTTTGTGAATGGTTAGGCTCTCCACCACTTTTCGGATTGAGGGTCAGTCGCTCAGGCCATTCAGTATGTAAGATTTTGGACTTGCTGATTCGGGTTCAGGGTTTGCCAGAGTCCATTCTTTTGGACCCGCGGAGTTGGAGGTTTTTGGTTTAAGCTTTAGGGTTCCGGTCTTGACAGTTTGGGGGTTTGGGGTCCATGGCCGTACATTACAGTACAGGACTCTGTAGTTGTGCATCCTCACCGCTTGATCTTGCAGCCCGAACTGATTCCCATCTCCGGAACACTGATTCACATAAAGTCGAACGCGACAGGCCGATGCAGGAGGCGTCGTCCAATTCCCTACACTGTACTTCCTGGTAAGAGACAGGAAGATCCTTCTTACAGGGCAGTCTATGTTCATGTTGTATACAACATGTTCGCGGGCCTTTGCCGTATGAGATGGCGCAAGTGGTCGATAGTACGGCAGGGGTCGTGAGATTGTCGTGAAGGTGTTTGCTCGCTTTGTGCAGAAGACATGCGCGGTGCTTGTGTCTTGGTAGGTGGGTGTGGCCACAGCAAGATCGG